GTCTGTCGCTTTCGTATATTCATCATAAGCTGTCTTCTGCAATTTGCTTCAACCAAGACTTCTTCATTTGTTTTTCTAGCTGTTAATGGGATACGTAGTATGCATCTTATGAACCACAAGTCTGTTGCCACAATTGTTCTTTCCAGCTGTTTATTGATTGTCCATGCTTCGCACTTGTATAATAGGATTGGCTCGATGTAACTTTTCAGCACTCATTTCTCGTTTCCAGTGACAGATTGATGTAGGAGAGTGAAAGACAGAGAAATTTGGGAAAACAGAGAGCCGCGCACTGTCGAAAAAAACTATCACATCCGCGCACACTCAGAGCCGAGCACTCTTTGATGATATCGGTACAATTAGACTGCCGATTACCAAAAGCGATACCGTCCAATACTTTGAATGCCTTCACTGCCCATTTAAGTAGTAAAACTCTCAAACCTTTTGTCAGTTATCGTTATTAAAAGAGGAATGAAACTGGTAATACACATTCCTTCCGTCGCCGTGTTACAACTAACTTAATTTATCTGAGTAATTTTGGCACACTCACTGACTCTAAATACGGTGTGCCCATTGGGGGATCGGGTATGGTCGGGGCGGTTTGCTAGCCAAATTGAGGGCGCAAAGTGGTTACCGTGGCACAAGCCGATCGCGTCCGACTCGTCGCCTCAAAGACAAACGCGATTGTTTTCAGGCGACGAGTGGGACAATCACCCCCGACTCAACCTGGCCCGACCCGATCCCATCCGCAATGGGCACCCCGAAGTGGGCTGAAAGAAAGAAAGAAATCTGAAAGAAATAAACAAGTCGTAAAACTGTTGCAGTTTTGAAAACCAGTTTTATTTTTGTATTGCACGAACACACCCCACTCACGTAGTCAGTTGACCCAGTTGGAAAGTAATTTTTTTCCACATAATGAATCGGAAATACATTGCAGTAGTACTAGGAATAATTGTGTCAAGGTGACTGCAACCGTTGGAAGGAATCGGCGGTCTTATAATATCGATATCGTCAAAAAAGCGCGGCTCTGATTGTGCGCGGCTATGACAGTTTCCCAAAAATTGTGG